GTAGAGGGGACTAAGAGAAAATTAAAAACATTAAAACAAAAATAAAACACAACAAATTGTATGAGGCAGGGTTGCTTCCTATCCTATCCAAGCGTGGAACAAGGAATTTTTATAAGGGCTGTGCTCTAAACTTTTTTCCTGGATTATTATAGTGATTGACTGACTGACTTTGTATAATGCGTTGCATGATGAATTTATTACTTTTGATTGATATAGGATGAGTCTAAATGCGTTTCCGCCCTTCATTGCATTTACCGTATAGAGAGAGAATTTAGATGGAAGACCAAATAACTTTCACTACATCATGGAGTTGAAAATTGAAACCAACAAAGTGAAAGGGATATTACTAACTAGTGTACTATTTTCAGCAAATTATCTTGCGGCCATAGCTGTCAAAAGAAGTTTCCTTCCTATTTTCCCACTCAAATTAATATAAAATCTCAGAAAACAAATAAAGTATGAACCTAGACATTATAAAATTCTGATGATAAGGTCAAGGATCTTGTCAAGTTTTGATACTTCTTTGCACTTTCCCTCTCATTTCTCACTCATCCAAAAACACCTTATGGGTCTGCTTCATGGGATTTTCTTTTATTCTGGTCACCCATTGGATATTGACCTCTGCTTCCTTTTTGACTAAGTGAAAACAACCCAAATTTAATGCTATTACTTGTCGTGGAAAGTTAATTATGTAATTAATTAAGGAATAAATTATCCTAATTTTTTTATTTTTCTTATTTTCTTTTCACCCAACAATGGTGTGATTTTATATCGACTCACATGGTTCATGCATGATAAGTTTAATAGATGACTGCCAATTATTATGAATTTTTAACATTAAAAATTTGTCACAAAATCTGCCTAGGTTTTCTTTATTATTAGGCAGATGTGGCAAAGTGCCTAATTATTCTCTACAAAATTATTATGTTTAACTGTATGATTCGTTTGATTAGATATGCTAATTACCTTTTTGTCTTATTCACACATGCACGCATTACCTTGTATGCTTTTGCTCGTTGGATTTGAGGCAATGTTTGGTGAAGAAGCCATCCAAAAAGAAGAAAATAAGACACATAAAGTGACATAGAAAGCAGACGTGGGATATGCCAGTTGGTTAGGCAGAGTTCGTTCCTTTGCATCCAAATTTGAATTTACTATAGCATATTAGTATTCTCATTTGATATAATTTTTCTCCCTTTATATAAATAGATTTAGATGTACATATAAACAAGTTTGTTGTGTAAAAAATTAGCTAGGTTAATTGTGTTTGGCACTAACTTAACATGTTTATTACACTCTAAGCAGCTAATCCAAAAACTTCATATAGCCCAAAAACTCAAAGGGTCTAAGATATCTGGTTTGAGATGGATTGGATGGTGCTCAAGAAATGACTTTATAAATGGAAACAAAGAACTTCTTGTTGATATACTGAATGTATGGTTACAATGGGTGGCGCTCAAGAACCTTGAACGTTTTCAAAGTTCTTATTGATATCTCTACGTGAAACCCTAAACCCTAAACATTCCTCGACCTTGAAGAGTTCGGTCGAATTGTCTCTTCATTATTTGGGCCACTTCGTGTGAGCCCAAATGTCCCTCAAAGCCCAACAAGTTGTTCCCTTCAATTTCCTTTACTTTTGAAATGACCATTTCCTTTGGGACCACGGGCGAAATTTTCTAGGTCTAAACAACTCCATAGAGAAGAGTTACCTCTTTTATAAAGCATATCAGATAACACAGTAGATAGAAAAATTTATTGTTTCCAAGTCCAGAAAAAGACTCACATACAGTCTCCAACATCATTACAAAACATTGCCTTTTATTTAAAGTCTCTGCGGATCGTCGGCATTATCTTCTTTTACAATTTTTAAATGATACGTGGTTGTTATTGTAAAGAATGAAGAAAATACATTATTAATATGGAAGATAAATAAAGCACTGTCATGGGGTAAAGTATAAAGACTTGAACATTAACTAGCATCAACCATTTTGAGGGAACAAACATTCCATAAGAATCTAATTCCATTTCTAATAATAATATTGTTTAAACACATATAGGTATAGCACATATTGTTTCTGAAAGACATATCCATAAGCATAAGGGATCTTGTACGGGTTTAAAAGGAGTTGGAGTACTCCTCCATTTCTAATTGGTTTTTGTAGGGTGGAACCTCATCAACTTCTTTCATATTATTAGAGCAGGTTCACCCGCATGTTAAGCTCAACGGCCACATGTTCACACGTCCACCTCACCCAATTAAGGTGTCCATATATCAAATTTGAAATTTCGCTACACGTGAATGTGGAAAGTTAAGAAATTTTGCATGTGCTTATAAGAAGTTAAGCCCCATTATAAATTTGGTTTTGGAATAAAACTTCATCTTCCTTCACTTTTGCCGTGACTTTAGCTGTGAGTGAGAGAATTATGTTTAGTATTCAAACTCTCTCTCTCTCTATACTATTAAGTGTGTGTATATATATATTGTCTAGGTCTTTTCGATATTGAATATATATTTTGTCTATGTGTTTTTAATATATTTTGTGGATTAAATCCACTCAAGTAGTGCCTCCTGTTATCTGAGTTGGAGTAACTATCAATATCCCCACCACAATCGTGCTGCCTATCAAAACAAACAAGCCACTGGTCCCAAATGCCAACACCCTAAAGCACACCAATCTTACGTCCTCACGATGTCGTCACCAAGATGCCCTACAGTTGCCACGTGGCGCAAGCAAAGAAGCTTCGTGACATCCTCAAGGAAAGTGTACATGAAGGAGCGACTTAAAAAAGAAAAAAGAAAAAGAAAAAATTATGTTTATTACTATTTATATGTAGAAACCATGCCTAACAAGTAACAACCAATTAGGCACACCTTGTCTTTACTTCTACCATTTTTCCACTTCCAGCTTTGTAGCTTTCTGGCAATAATGGACTGTCTTCAGAATCCAAACCCTAGCTCAGCCGGCCCTTATCACTTTGGAGAGAGCATCGATCCTTCCATGGATTTTGATGAGTTTTCAGACTATTTCATGCTTGATTATGGTGTTGATGATCATCAAGATTCTTCGTCTTTAAGTATCATGTCGCCGGAGAAGTCCATGGCTGACCGCTCTACTGGATCCAGTGGTGGTGCAACATCAAGAAATAGCAACAATAATATGTAAGTGATCCTTATATTTATTATCTTTTTATTAATTATTATTATTATTTTTCTGAATATAATTAGCAAGGTCTATTTTATTTTGATTTTGAAACTATGAAGAAAGACTTATTTTGATTTGATTTTGTAGGAAATGCAGAAATGAGGGGAGGAGAAACAAGATAGAAATGGGTCATAGGGTTGCTTTCAGAACTAAATCGGAGCTGGAGGTTATGGATGATGGATTCAAGTGGAGGAAGTACGGAAAGAAGTCAGTCAAGAACAGCCCAAATCCAAGGTAATAATGATAATATTTATTCTATATCTAAGACTAGGAGGAGATCAATTATATTATATTTGTATTAATATCATTATCCATAATGCTTTACTTAATTAAAATTAGATTGCATAAGATAATGAAAAACTTGGATTTGATAATTAATTATAAGATAATAAATTTTATAATTAGGCTATTTGAAAAACTTGCATAAGATAATGAAAAACTCGGTTGTAATGTAAGAGCTCCTACTTATTTGGTAAGAAGAGAAGTATAGCATTATTAGAGATGACAATTTTCCCCATGGGTAAGGGTCTTTGTGGGGATTCGACCCTAATGGGTTGGGTATGAAGGACCAAAAACGAGTATGGGGTGGGTCAGGAAACTCATTCCCCAACGAAGGTGGGGATGAGGAATCCCTAATATGAATTTTGAGGGTATAAAGGCAGGAATGGGAAAAAAAGCTTAACAGAGATGGGGATGAGAATAGCATACCCTACCTCGATTCGACCCATAGCCATCCCTAAGCATTATTTAGGCTATTTAATCTGGTGGAGAGAGAGAGAGAGGACTGACTGTTAAAAGAGGCATGCTTAAGTTTGCTGCTTCTGCATCCAATAATATTTTGTTCAAATTGTTGGAGTTGAAGGTGACTAGAGAGAGGCATGTATTTGTCAATTGTCATTGATCACATCAAATGATCAATTACCACATACACACGCACAACACATGGACATGAAAACCAAGACAGGTCACAACAACTTGCCATTTTGTTACTCTCAAACTACATACTGTAGCTCGAGATAATTTATGCAAGCAACTAAAATATAAAAATAGACAGTTCGAATAATTGACATAAAATACGTGTTTGTGGCATGACTTGAGAGAGTCGTGGTGTCTCTCCTCTCTAACCTTGAGGACATATCACTTCCAATCAGTACACTCAAGTTGACGAACAAATCTAAAACTATCAATTATCTTTAAATAAGGACAGACACCCTTCATTATTTTGTTCTTTCTTTAATTGTCTACGCGTGCTTAGTTTCTTTTTCCCTTTTACTAGATTCAGATTCTCCCATGTATCTGTTAGAGTTTTAACTAGTGTCCCTATCTATTTGTAATTGTTGTTTATCACCCTATTTCTAGTATGTAAATAACATCGATAATCGTGTATCTACGTAAAATGTAGCGATGATTAATTTCACTACTTTGTACCTTTTATTAATTATTTCTAATTCAAGAATAGTTCTTCTCATGACGTCTTTGTGCCTAAATTATATTCAACAGAAATTACTACAAATGTTCAAGTGGAGGGTGCAATGTAAAGAAGAGGGTGGAGAGGGACCGAGAAGACTCGAGCTATGTGATAACCACATATGATGGAGTGCACAATCATGAGAGCCCTTGTGTGTTATATTACAATCAGATGCCTACTCCTGTGGATCCCAACAACATTTGGACTCTGCGAGCTTCTTCACAGTCTTCGGCTTCTTCATAGTTTGCTCCTTTATTAATTATATGCTATATATATATATATAATATCACCAAAATGGGGCTCGAAAATTATTTAGATCATTAAATGATTTGCTCACATTCACATCATACACAAGAACACAGCAATCAGCTCCCCTATAAAACGAAGCTCCAAGACTATGAAATCTTTCTTGCCCTGCTGTGTCCCAAACCTGTCCAAGACAGATGCAGCAACAAAGAAAACTCCGCATAAAGCCTTTTGTTAATATGAATGGATGCTACTAAATACTAATTGCTCTGATTAAATCACTCACTTGCAAAGTCACCAACTTGTCATCAATCTGAAGTTCCTTCGTGACGAAATCGGCACCGATCGTAGCTTTATACTGTCGATGGAACTTCTTGTACACATATCTAAACAACAAATTAAGGATCCACAGAACATGTATAACAATGGATTTCCAATCCAATTGCAGCAAATTCAAATGTCATGCATGAGTTTGCATAAATCAATGTGGAACAGAGTAGTTTGTGAGTGCAAAGGATACTGATTCATCAAAGACGTCTTTCCCACCCTGAAATACCACAAAAAACGAAAAACAAAAAACAAAAAAAAAACTCATATATTAAAGAAAACGCAGGAAACAAAACCCATTACATCAAAAATAAAATTAAAAAAAGAAAAAAAAGTAAGACATACCCACTATCTCCAAGGACAATGACCTTAAGCAGAGTTCTTCTTTTCATAGAAATATCCATTGAAGATTGGACCACTGTAGCTCTCTGTAATATACAAAGAAGACAAAGAAAGAAAAGGGTTTTTTTTTTTAAGCTCCAAATTTTAGCTCTCTGCTTCCTTTGAATATCCAATCCAACAGTGTTGGGAAAGTTTGGGAAAAGAGAGGTGACGGTTGATGAAGAAAAGGGCAGGCCAACTTTTTCCAAGTGGTTCCTGATTCTCCTTCTTTCTACGTGCTCAACTTTTTTCTTGGGATTCTTTTTTTCCCTTTTTCTTTTTTGCTTGTGATGTGTTTGAATTATACAAAGTGAGAGCCACGTGAACTCTGCCAACCAAAACCAACGTTACCCGCCAGCTGACCTCCTTTTTTATTTTATTTTATTTTATTTTTGTTTTAAATATAAAAAATTAAAGTGGTTTAGTTGACTATTTGCTTACGTGCCAGTCGTGCTTGCCTCAACATTCTCTGCTTGATTTTAATTGGCAGGCTGGACAGGGTTTCAATTTGCAAAATTGACTGGCCGTTGCAGCATTTTTAATTAGATTTTTATATATATTAAATTCTTCAAATTTGCATTCTGCCCTGCCCACCATCAATTTGGACTTTGGATTCTACTTCCCATTTTGAACTATATTGTAATCGATCTTATGGAAATGGAATATGGATTGTTGCTAATTTGGGCTTTTAGCTTGGCATGCTTGATTTCGCACTTGGGCTTTTTCTCAATTAATACATCCTCGAAAAAGAAAAAGTGCCATTGTAATACAGTTTTATTTTTATAGAATGCATGTCACTATAAATATAATACACATTATTCACCTCAGAAAATTATATGGGAAGTATTATTTTCCCTGCACTTATTAGGAATGGAAAAAGTCATTGAGGAATTTAAGAATAGAAAATTAAGGAATTAGAATTGGATCAACTAGTTGATCCAATTCTTGATTTAAAGGTATTAGATAATGAATTTTAACGTGGAACTCACATAGTAGTCTTCTTATTTATTTATTTCTTATGTGTTAGTACATGTTGGGAAATCATGAATTAGAGTAATATGTATACCTATGTGTTAGAAATACACCTTTTGAAGAAATTTTTAGTGTATAGAGCCCTGACACCATGTATTACGCCCCAATTTGAGAAAGGACTTGACATTTCAAACTAAAGCATGAATTAAGGGTGGACATGGGTTGGGTTGGATTGGTTTTAGTCCCAACTCGTAACCCAACCCAATATATAGTGGTTTATGATTTATTGGGTTGTTCGATTAGCTTAACTAAAAATTAAACCTACTTTTAAGTTTTAGTTCCAAAGCGTAACTTATACCGTACATAGCGGAAACTCAATATCCACTTATTTTTAAGCTAACCCAAACCAACTTACTATGATTGGGTTGGATAGGTCGGTTGGGTTGACTTGAAATTATGCCCACCCCTAGTACTTTTAGAAAATTTAGTTTAGGTATGTTTTGAAATTTGAGAATGTAATGGTCCTATTTTCATTTTTAAGTCTAATCAATAGTACGTTATGTTTTCTTAGCTTTCAATCACAAGTAAACTCATATTGAACTTTTTGGAAATCCCATCTATAGAAAACAAAGTGCACTAGCATTTTCTGTAATTTTTCAGCTTTTTGGGTGTCTTAGTTTACCTTTTGAACTTCGATCTAAGACGAAGGGAAAAAAAAAGATATACGGTTTATCCCTAATTTTGAAAATTATTTTGACCATAATTAAAATAGCTCAAAATAAAATTCCTACAATGAAAATATGATGAGGAATTGACCTTCAATAATAATAATAATAATAACTTATCTACAAAACCTCATAATAAGCGTAAACAATTCATCTGAATTAAAGAGAGAATAATATCGTAACTATGTGCCCAAAATGACCAAAATGCATTATGAGCTTTTTGCTACGTACGCACAACATCAGAAGACTTGACCAAGCATGCATTAATCGAGACACGAGAGGTAGTTCTAGAAGGTGACAAACTAAGTTGGTAAAAAATGATAGCTGAGGCATAGTTGACACTTGTGTGATTAAGTCTAAATATTAAAATATTGACCTAGGTCTAACGAAACATTTTTATGGGCATCGGAGGACATAAAGTCAAGTGGACAGACCTATATCAATTGTGTCATGGGGGAATGGTTGGAGAAAACACGGAAAAATGATAGCTGAGGCATAGTTGACACTTGTGTGATTAAGTCTAAATATTAAAATATTGACCTAGGTCTAACGAAACATTTTTATGGGCATCGGAGGACATAAAGTCAAGTGGACAGACCTATATCAATTGTGTCATGGGGGAATGGTTGGAGAAAACACGGCCGTGACCGGTTGCCGGCGTGCCAGCTAACTAATCCAAACAATACCGTATTTGAGTACGAATTTCTTGCTTTACGGGTAATTTTTACTAATTTCGGGGAGCTAAAGATTTTCTTTTTCACAAATATAACACTTTGCTTCCCATAATATATAGTACTTGTTTCTTCAAAGTTGCTCCAAAGCCAAACCAAGAAATATACACCAAAAATCCATGCTGTTGAGGCGGCTCCACTCCATGCATCCCCGGACTGATAAGCGAAGACTAATTTAAGTCTGATAAAAGTAAACGCTTGGAAGATGTGTAAAGTCCAACAACATTTGGAGCCCCACATAACCAACCCGTGAACATATATAGTCCACGTGGTTGCCTTGCTTTGCTTTAAATATTATTCAACAAGTATCTTACACATTCATGACTCTAATTTCTAGTTCAAGAAAGTCGGCCCATTCAGTTTTCACATCACATCTGTTGGAAATTATTTCGTCAACAAAAAATGTAGAGGGGACTAAGAGAAAATTAAAAACATTAAAACAAAAATAAAACACAACAAATTGTATGAGGCAGGGTTGCATCCTATCCTATCCAAGCGTGGAACAAGGAATTTTTATAAGGGCTGTGCTCTAAACTTTTTTCCTGGATTATTATAGTGATTGACTGACTGACTTTGTATAATGCGTTGCATGATGAATTTATTACTTTTGATTGATATAGGATGAGTCTAAATGCGTTTCCGCCCTTCATTGCATTTACCGTATAGAGAGAGAATTTAGATGGAAGACCAAATAACTTTCACTACATCATGGAGTTGAAAATTGAAACCAACAAAGTGAAAGGGATATTACTAACTAGTGTACTATTTTCAGCAAATTATCTTGCGGCCATAGCTGTCAAAAGAAGTTTCCTTCCTATTTTCCCACTCAAATTAATATAAAATCTCAGAAAACAAATAAAGTATGAACCTAGACATTATAAAATTCTGATGATAAGGTCAAGGATCTTGTCAAGTTTTGATACTTCTTTGCACTTTCCCTCTCATTTCTCACTCATCCAAAAACACCTTATGGGTCTGCTTCATGGGATTTTCTTTTATTCTGGTCACCCATTGGATATTGACCTCTGCTTCCTTTTTGACTAAGTGAAAACAACCCAAATTTAATGCTATTACTTGTCGTGGAAAGTTAATTATGTAATTAATTAAGGAATAAATTATCCTAATTTTTTTATTTTTCTTATTTTCTTTTCACCCAACAATGGTGTGATTTTATATCGACTCACATGGTTCATGCATGATAAGTTTAATAGATGACTGCCAATTATTATGAATTTTTAACATTAAAAATTTGTCACAAAATCTGCCTAGGTTTTCTTTATTATTAGGCAGATGTGGCAAAGTGCCTAATTATTCTCTACAAAATTATTATGTTTAACTATATCGACTCACATGGTTCATGCATGATAAGTTTAATAGATGACTGCCAATTATTATGAATTTTTAACATTAAAACTTTGTCACAAAATCTGCCTAGGTTTTCTTTATTATTAGGCAGATGTGGCAAAGTGCCTAATTATTCTCTACAAAATTATTATGTTTAACTGTATGATTCGTTTGATTAGATATGCTAATTACCTTTTTGTCTTATTCACACATGCACGCATTACCTTGTATGCTTTTGCTCGTTGGATTTGAGGGAATGTTTGGTGAAGAAGCCATCCAAAAAGAAGAAAATAAGACACATAAAGTGACATAGAAAGCAGACGTGGGATATGCCAGTTGATTAGTCAGAGTTCGTTTCTTTGCATCCAAATTTGAATTTACTATAGCATATTAGTATTCTCATTTGATATAATTTTTATCCCTTTATATAAATAGATTTAGATGTACATATAAACAAGTTTGTTGTGTAAAAAATTAGCTAGGTTAATTGTGTTTGGCACTAACTTAACATGTTTATTACACTCTAAGCAGCTAATCCAAAAACTTCATATAGCCCAAAAACTCAAAGGGTCTAAGATATCTGGTTTGAGATGGATTGGATGGTGCTCAAGAAATGACTTTATAAATGGAAACAAAGAACTTCTTGTTGATATACTGAATGTATGGTTACAATGGGTGGCGCTCAAGAACCTTGAACGTTTTCAAAGTTCTTATTGATATCTCTACGTGAAACCCTAAACCCTAAACATTCCTCGACCTTGAAGAGTTCGGTCGAATTGTCTCTTCATTATTTGGGCCACTTCGTGTGAGCCCAAATGTCCCTCAAAGCCCAACAAGTTGTTCCCTTCAATTTCCTTTACTTTTGAAATGACCATTTCCTTTGGGACCACGGGCGAAATTTTCTAGGTCTAAACAACTCCATAGAGAAGAGTTACCTCTTTTATAAAGCATATCAGATAACACAGTAGATAGAAAAATTTATTGTTTCCAAGTCCAGAAAAAGACTCACATACAGTCTCCAACATCATTACAAAACATTGCCTTTTATTTAAAGTCTCTGCGGATCGTCGGCATTATCTTCTTTTACAATTTTTAAATGATACGTGGTTGTTATTGTAAAGAATGAAGAAAATACATTATTAATATGGAAGATAAATAAAGCACTGTCATGGGGTAAAGTATAAAGACTTGAACATTAACTAGCATCAACCATTTTGAGGGAACAAACATTCCATAAGAATCTAATTCCATTTCTAATAATAATATTGTTTAAACACATATAGGTATAGCACATATTGTTTCTGAAAGACATATCCATAAGCATAAGGGATCTTGTACGGGTTTAAAAGGAGTTGGAGTACTCCTCCATTTCTAATTGGTTTTTGTAGGGTGGAACCTCATCAACTTCTTTCATATTATTAGAGCAGGTTCACCCGCATGTTAAGCTCAACGGCCACATGTTCACACGTCCACCTCACCCAATTAAGGTGTCCATATATCAAATTTGAAATTTCGCTAC